CACACGGCGGTCAAACGCCCTTTGGCGAGATGAACTAAAAACATTACCTCAGTCCGAAAAACTCCCAAAATAACGTTCCAAACAACAGTAAAGTATTGTATAAATTATGTCATCTACTACTGGGGTTTATACGGTGACGCTGTTGAATTGCTAAGCGTATAGCCCCTGCCATCTATAGGAGAACATAGTAAATGTTCCAAATTAATTTTTTATTTTTTATTTTATTTTTTGCCACGAGTATACTCGTGTTTCGCGGCCGTGCGTTTTGCAGGTTCGAACGAGTATACTCGTGTTTCGCGTTGAACGTGTTAAATGTTGTTAAAAGGGTTAATTATTAATAAAGTTAAGATGTTATTAATCAGGACAAGCAAAAATTTTGTAGGACAAGAAAAAATATCTTGTAGCTTGTCCGTCGGACAAGGACATTTTTTTTCATTGTTTTGAACACTGCAGGTCACCCTCTACGCTCTCTCACGCGGTCGCATCGGCAACCACGAGGCGCCCGTGCTGCCGCCTGGCGACGCCGTCGTCGGGGACAACTACCGCGAGCTTCAGGCCGTGTTCAGCGACATCCCTGCCGTCGACGACAGCCGCCTGTCGCCCGTCGGCAACGTGGGAGTCGACGCGTTGCCGGGGGAGACGGGGGTGACATACGAGGGGATGTCGCCGGTGGGCGCCGAGACGGGGGTCAGCTACGAGCACATGATGTCGGTGGGCGCGGAGACGGGGGTCGACTACTCGCACGCGTCCGTCAGCTATGACGACGTCGGCATCGACTACGGCGACTTGGAGACGGACGGCAGCGTACTGACGAACGGCGGCACTGCGGGGGCGCCTCCGTACGACGACGACGACGACGGCGAATCGTGTGATAGAACGGCGGTGGCGCAGAACGGCCTGAACAACCTGAGTTCGCCCGCCGGAACATTGACCGGCCGCCGGAACATTCCGATGAACGAGATGAACATCTCGACGATGGATTCGGACGACGGCGGCGGCGGCAGCGGGGGCGAGGCGCGGTGGGTTCCGCGACCTGCCCCGCGGCGGAGTCGGCAGCCGCCGCAGCCAGACGTCGACCCGTCGCGGGGGCACACTCCACCGGGGCTGAGTAGCTACGAGGACGCAGTGCGGGGATGCAGCCCGGAGGAGGAGGAGGAGGGGAGCAGCCGGGGATCCCCCGTGGAGGAGGCAGTGAACAGAGATAGCATCGTGCCTCAGGTAGGCAGGTCGGCTCAGCGACGACAGCTGCTGCTGGTCACACCGAAGATTTCCGATGCGGGTGTTTGTAGGTTTTACTAATCAATATAAAACCTGATATCCCTATAAACGAGCTTTTTTCGTAATTGCTGGCTTTTCCTCTTAGTTTAGTACAAGGGGGTTAACGATATCTTAATGTTAAAAGGAACTGCAATGAATTGTCGTTCACGTAACTAACCTCTCTGACGTTTCTGTGAATGATCTTTACGAAAAAGTTGATTTTAAGACTTATTTTTGTCTGACAACAGGCTCTTGAAATCGATTCGACTGGATTAGGATTAGGATTCGGTGGCTAGACTTGACAAAAGCTAGTGTTTGCTCTTGCAGATCGGCTCACCAGAGAACTTGGAGAGCAGAGTGGATGGAGACTTTACTGACCAGACTCCTGCTGTTGCTAGCACTTCTGGCATGCAAAGCAGGCAGGCCAGCTACCTGGACCAGCACCAGAGGTTGTGTCGAGCCATCTCTTCCTCCGGCAGTCCCTGCTACCATACCTCCCAGGTGCTTTACTGCTTTTTATCGAGAGCAATCCCAATTGCATACCTTCCTTGGTTTTATTTCTAGTTTTGGATGTTATTTTTGAAATCATCGTAGGTGTTGTGCAGTTTAACAATCTCGGTTTAAGTTCTACGGGATAGCAAGTCGGGTGTAGACCCAGCCGTAGCTGCAGTCGGTACAGCAACTTCAGAAGTAGGTGGCTGTGTGAAACCTCAAACGTCCGAGTCGCCAAGTGGTTTCCGATACGGTCGACAACGTAAACCGCGGTTATTGATCACTCGCGAATTTCGAGTCTCGTGTCAACGCCAGGGACCGACTCTTGTGACGGGATGCAACGTTCTATTGACCACTCGCTGCGAATTTCGCGTCTCGTGTCAACGCCAGGGACTGACTCTTGTGACGGGATGCAACGTTCTATTGACCACTCGCTGCGAATTTCGCGTCTCGTGTCAACGCCAGGGACTGACTCTTGTGACGGGATGCAACGTTCTATTGACCACTCGCTGCGAATTTCGCGTCTCGTGTCAACGCCAGGGACTGACTCTTGTGACGGGATGCAACGTTCTATTGACCACTCGCTGCGAATTTCGCATCTCGTGTCAACGCCAGGGACT